AGTTGGGGTGGCTGGGGCGCAGGGGGTTGGAGGGGGTGCGTCGCCAACTATGTCATTGTGATTCCCCCCCTTTCATATATGACTAATATTTACCAAAAATGTATAATTCTCCAGTTATTTTATAAAAACCAAAAATAATTTTATTGAATTTTTCTTTAAAAAAAGACATTTCCGGTAAAAATTCGAAGTGGCAAACTTCATATTCATGTAAAGCAAACCAAATAACATATACAAAATCTCAAAACTCTACCAAAACTTTCCCCTATTTTCTACCATTTGACTGGATTATTTACTTTGAATCGATTAAATGAGAATAAAGTGCAAATATTTAATTTGACAGGTGCAGATTTATTGATTTGTTATTTTTGCAGATTGGATTGCATTGATTTTTTTTAAAGTGAACGTGATAGAGATGTGTATTTAATAAAAGTCGTAACTCGATAAAATGACTCTCAAAAGGGTCTGGCAATACACATTTTCTCGACCCGATACGCAATTAACGTATAATCGATTCGTTCACAGAGCTGTTACGCAATGTGTGAATTGAAACAATTATGCAGTACTATTCTCGAACGAAGCAACATTACGTAACAAAGTTATCGCGTGCAATAAATTTAACGTTACGCTGCTTTTGAAAATTCATTTAAATTGGTAAAATGTACGTTATCTACATACAATGCAAAATCTTCGGGTTTGGGCAGCAAAGTTTATCTAACACTCATTTAACCTTTGTACTATTGAAAATGTAGAATGTTTAATGTTTCAAGGAATTGAATGTTATTCGCTCGTAAAAGGTTCTATTTTACTACCTCAAAATCTCAATTTGATCTAAAAGTTTATAATCTCGATAGGCGATATGGCTAAAATTTACTAAACACTCCCATTTTCCCATTTTGTTTACTTCAAAGTGAAGCTTCCGCGCACGATTCCCGGTAATGTTTTAAATGGAATCTTCAATACCGTGCTCTTTATAAAATATCTCCTATACTATCCCTTCACCAAATTGGAATTAGGTGATTCTGCCGTATAATTTACTAGGATTAGTGGAGAATTAAGAAAAAATTGTTTGATGTTGCAGCAAACACAGTGAAGTTCTCATGTAAATGTATTCGTCTAATACTAATTCATTAGTTCACGATCTATTCTGGATTCATTGCTATATAACTGCGACCACACGCTACACTGAAAAAAATGACTTCCTTGTGGTAACAAATTTAGAATTGCTACATGCATATTGTTGCATTATTTACATTACGAACTTTTAGTGTTTTAATGTTTTTTCAATGGCTGAACAAAGTGTAGGTGATATATTGGAACAATGGGGATTCCCCGAACTAGTTTTGGCGTTTGAAGGTAAGTGTAAACTTTAATCCATAAATTGTTTTGAACTATCTTTTGTTTTCTGGCATTTTCATTTTTAGATTTTTCGAACAACGACAACTCGAAAAGTACCGGTCTGATCAGAAAGTGGTCGAGGAACTTTTTATTCAGTTTTCGTTGTATAACACCATCCCACAGTCCGTGTGCGCGAATTTCGAAACACGCTGTATATGTAAAAGCTGTTTATATGTAGTGTAGGTAAGTTTTAATTTAAGCGTTTTATATTTTGTTTTTGGGGATGTTAATGCTAAAAAAGTTTTTCTTGTGTAGTTATGTAAACAGTAAGTGATTTAAAAAATGTGTATTTTAAAAAAAAAGTGATTTATTTAATTGACATCACCAAAACGCGCGGACGATGCAGACAGATCGGAAAATTTGTTGTGCCAACTAGGATTCATAGTTAATCCAACTAATCATTTGAGACAATTTATTAGTTTCTCCAGCATAAATGGTATGCTACTACAACAAAGATAAAAAAGGACAAATTAGGAGGTCCAGCATATACTCGTTAGTTTATATAACAATACCGCAATGCTGCTGCGACTAAGCATTACTTGTTACAGGGACAAATTTTTTGCAAGCTTATTTAGTTTTTCAAACAAAAATGGTATGCTTTCTTAACTAATTTGTATAATTTGTCACAAATAATTGTTTTAGCTACTGGAAAAAATTTACTTCCAACAAGTTATGTTGATTTTCTACAGCAAATATTTTTGTTGAGGCTATAGCTACTAAAAAAATTAGTTCGAGTAACTGATTGTTAGTTGCGACAACATTTCTTTTTTTTCAGTGTAGCTAAATTCTGTATCGGTATTCTGTCAAGCTTAATGTCTTTCGTTCTTTAAATATATATTTATGTAAAATGGATTAAGTGGCAGAGCAGAAGTAGGAGCTTAGGCAACTACTAGCTGAACTTCGTCCTTTTAGTTACTATTGCTCTCGCAATGTACTCACTTGTAATTATTTTTGTTTATACTGAGTTGATAATTTGGGTGCAATATGTAACCAAATAAAGGTATTATTATTATTATGATATACAGGCTATTTCACGCAAACCGTTACCTAAAAGTATTTAGACTTCCATTAATAATTTAAATCTGAAAATTTGCGTACCAACATAGTTTTTCATGATCTATCGAAAAAAAATATTAGCATGATTGATTGATTTTTTCGAATTGTTTTATTTTTTTGCACTTTCAAATATGCAAAAATATTCTTCATCGATCAATTATTACATCCCCTATACCTATCTGTTATGGTTTTAGTTTTATTTAAGATTTTCTAAAATGGTGACCGTTATATGCATAATTTTCTTAGGAGGCCTTGAAATAAACGCGTTAGTATGTCATTGTACTATCCCTGGAAACATTACCTGGGAAAAGCTACTGGTTTCATGATTTCCATGATGTTTATATGCATATTTATTTTAATTTTAATAGGAAATCGACTAAGTTCGAGAAACGCCCTATCGCAGCCAAACGATTAGTGATAGCTGAATTCTGTTTGCTCCAGTGATTTTCTCTTTAAAATTGGGCTCCAGACACCTAGGTCCATTTTTTCGTATTCCTTAAAATAAAGGGTGTTTCTATAAGAAAGTGTCCAATTTGGACCACCCAGTACATATGAAAGTAACGATTAATCATTAAATTTTGTTTAACATTTGAGTGTGTCTTGTCACTTTTTCTCCCTTGTCGCGTTTTTCACATTTTAGTCCCCTTAAATGGAAATTTAAACCATTTCTAGCCATTGATAATGGTATGCCTATTAGAAAAGCGGCTAAAGAATTCCAAATACCTCGCGCTACATTACAATTTAGAAGAAGTGTGAAGTTAAAAAAAATCGGGCATGGTCCCGCACCAGTTTTAAGCAAGGACGAAGAAGCTACTTTGGTAGAATGGATTTTCGAATGCCACAGAAAAGGATTTCCGAGAAGAAAGGCAGATGTGTTATACTCTGTGAAACATTTCCTTGATATGAAACCCAAGCCAAACCCATTTATAGATAATTGTCCACGCAACGGGTGGTATAAGTCATTTTCTTAACAGACACCCAGAATTGGCCTCACGAACAGCTGAATTTGTTACAAAAGCTAGTTCAAGTGATTTGAAAAAATGGTTCAATGAAATAGAGGAATATTTAAAGGAAAAAGGCCATTTTAGTATTCTTCAAGACCCATCCAGGGTATTCAATGGAGATGAAACTAATTTCTACTTGTGTCCAAAAAATTCTAAAGTACTCGCCCCAAGGGGAAGCTCCAATGTTTACGAAGTGGAAAATGTTTCTTCCAAATCGAATTTGACAGTCATGTTTACGTTTTCGGCCACAGGAATGTTAACTCCCCCAATGGTAATCTATCCATATAAAAGATTACCAAATTATTTAATTCAATCCGTTCCGAAAGGGTGGGGAATAGGGGCTACAGAAACTGGTTGGATGCGCAGCGAAACATTTTATGAATACATTTCTAATGTTCTGTATCCATTCTTATTGAAATCAAACATAACTTTCCCTATTATTTTATTTCTCGATGGACATAGCACGCACCAGCTAACGTTGAAACTTAGGATTTATGTAAAAAACTTCAAATAATTTTAATATGCCTTTACCCCAACGCTACTCGCATACTTCAACCCGCTGATGTAGCAGCTTTCCAACCTATAAAAGCGGGATGGAAGCGCGCTGTAAGTGACTGGAAAAGAGATAATCCCACTGATTCTTTAACAAAAGAAAAATTTGCTCCTATTTTGGAGAAATCAATCCAAAACTCACATAACCCGAACGGACTTGTCAATGGATTCAGGGCTTGTGGTATTTATCCTTGGAACATAAATGCCATAGACTTCACGAAGTGCATTGGTAAAGATACAAAAGAAGAAAATGATAACCTCATTGGTAATGAGGTAAATATTGGACTTGCCAGAAATATATTAACTTATGAAAAGTTTGTTAGTATAATAGGGGACGATAAGCTAAAAATAATATCAGCTCTAGATGATACGGCGTCCCATGAAGATATGTTGCTTCATAAAATACTTAGAGAATTTGTTGCCCAACCAGATCAAGTAGATACTGCAAATAAAGAAGAGGCCAAAAGTTTAAGCGAAGATGAAAAATCGGGAGCAGAAATAGTCGAAACCAAATTAGAATCAAAATCATCAACATTCTCCAAATTGCTCTAATGATTTTTTCCTTGCTGATGCTATTACAGTAGAAGAGAGTTCATATATATCTACAATGGAAAATGATTGTGAAATTTTAAATATTGAGGATATTCCTATTATAGCATCACAAGAACAACCATTTTCCACATTTGATCAGAACGAAACCCAGCTAGAGGCACATCCAGTGGGATTAGAACAATCTTCAATTAAAAAATATTTATACTGGCCCGTTACACCTCCGAGAAAGGGGAAACGACAAACGGACCATGATCCATATGTTTTGACGTCAACACAATGGAAAAAAATTAAAAAACAGACAGAGAAGAAACAAAAAAAAAACAAAAGGAAGCAGAAAAAAAAAGCTAGAAAACAAAAAAGGGAAGAAAATAAATTAAAATAGGATTGCGCAAAAAAAAATTTAAAAGAAGCTAAGTAAAAGAAGAAGGTGTTCCATCAATGGCACGAGTTTCGACTCCAATAAAGACCTCAACTCTCGACAGAAAACGCGAAGAAAGGAAGCCGCCCCTGATGACTCCATCTCCATCCACGGTTTCTCCTACAAGTCTACCTATTCAACAAGTGGAAAAAATTAATAAATCGACCAGACGTTTATTTAGCGAATCACCTAAAATTAAAATATTATCGGATATAACAGTAAACGTAACACCTAAAGACAGTCACCAAAATATTTTAAAACAAATGGGCTTAATTGAAAATGAAAATTGTGTTTTAAAGGAATGTGCTATAATTGTACATTTAACTTTACTCAAGAGCAGAGTGGTTTAAAATGTAATTCCTGCATAAGAGGGTATCATATTAAGTGCCTAAAAAAATTGACTTGCACAAATCTAATTCATCAATATTTAATTGTTTAACATGTTTAAAAAATAAAAATTAATTATTATGTTTTTATATTCGTAATTTTGAAAAAAAAATATTAATTTAGATTGTTATTTTTTTACATATTGTTACATTTCTCTTAGATATCTACCTACCTACGTAAATAAATAGTTCTTGTAATAACGGCCAATAACTGATTCTAAGGGCCAACTACTCTACATTTGGGATGTAATATATTAAGGTATAATTATGTACATTGTTCGTGAAAGTATTTCAATTAAAAACGTTTGAAAAGATAAACTGTCTACTGCTATTTAGTATATAAAATAATAATGTCTACCTTTTACAATTAAAACAAAAAAATATTTCATGGCCTAGACACCTTAAGGGGCCAACAACTGTATAGCTTACCCTATACAGTATAAAACCTATATCGAGGTAAATAAATGTTTTAAATAGAACTGCTATTCTGACAGCTGCTTTGAAATATAATCTTTCTGTAAATAATGAAAGCAGATTTAGTGGAAGTATGTAATCCTAACCACTTTCTAATAAATAAACGTGAATAGACTTAGTTAAAATCAATACAACTGTAGGCAACAGAAAAGTTTCCCTGGCTGTTGCATTGTGAGGAATGATAACATGGCTCCAGTTGTGTTTCTAAAATTCTAGAAAATTCTAAGCGGGCATATTGAAACAGCATAATAAATGTAAATAACGGGTTTACCAATAAGAGCGATAGGATTTTAAATTGAAATAAAACACAGTCAATTTGGTCAAATTTAGGTTTGATTGGTTTTATTAGATGCTGTATTTCATGCCATTTATGATTTAAACAAAATATCGTTCAAATGGCCACCGCGGCTCTTTTTGCACTGGCTCATCCGATCGGACCAATTTTCGATGACTCGGTGGATCATATCGGGTGGAATGGCAGCTATGGTCGCTCGAATGTTGGCCTCGAGCTCGTCAAGAGTCTTGGGTTTATTCGCATAAACCTTTGACTTCACATAGTCCCACAAAAAGAAGTCCAATGGTGTTAAATCGCATGATGTTGGCGGCCAATTGTGGGGGCCATTTTGAGAAATCAACGATTCACCAAACTGTTGACGCAATAAGTCCATTGTAGCGTTCGCTGTGTGGCATGTTGTTGGATAATTTCCAAGCGTTGAGGCAACGTGAACTTGTTCATGATGAAATGGCAAGCCTTACTGATGACAACTGACAGCATATGTCAAATGTTTGGCATCCAACATAGCCGCCTTAAACGTTTAAAATCCTATCGTCCCTATTGGTAAACCCTATATTTACCTGATGATTTAGAGAAACTTGCGCTATACAAACAAAGGCAGTTACAGTCGGTAAAAACAAAACTCGGTTCAATTTAGGTTTGAAATTGTAGCGTTCGAGCGCGCAAATTACGGTAGGGGAAATAAGTAAAACATAAATTACCAAAGAAGTTATTCTGGGCGGTTGTTTTAGGGAGACATGCATTAAAAATAAATTAAGTACAGGTGTTTTCGTTTAATATATTTTCAATTAATTTTTCGTACATAGGAGGAGATTCTTGTTTAAGTTTGTTCGCACGCCCACAAGAAAGTTTGCAGTGCCATACTACGCGCTGAAAATTTTCCCAAACTGCAAAACTTTAATAGAAAACTGGTTATGCAAGATATTGCTAAATTTTCTACATCAAAATGCGACGCCGTCTAGCATCTTACTTTGAAACAAACTGAAAAAGGTGAGCGTATACATACACAAGTTTTACCTTTAACTTTTCTTTGAAAAGTTATTATTTCAGCACTTCTTCCTTTTTATTCACTTAGTAGTAGGAAATCTCACAATTCACGTCAAAAACAGGCACCATCTTTGTTATGTCCACATTTCCAACTCCACGTATTTTACAAAAGGCGGTTTCGCAATTATTAGTGATGAACTTAACCGTATATTATGAAAGGGGTGCTTGATTGCACGGCAGTAACATTTGATTTAATACTCGTTCTGGAATGAAAACGAAGACATTCGAGCAAACGTTTAATTTCTTAGAATTAATATTTCATTTCGCCGCACTTAAGCTCAGGTTTCGTTAAAATATGGACTTTTTGTTTTTATTTTCGAAGGCGAAATGGAAAGTGGTTGACGAAAATATAGATAAATTTACGACTAATACTTTTTACTCCTTTAATGGCTCCAAGTCCCACAAAAACACGCAAATGGTGATGAAAAGTTTCCCCATTTTACGATTTTAGTATTGAAAGTCAAACAAAAACAATTTATTTGAAAGAAAACCGTAGATGAATATGGCCTAAATTTATTTTATTACATCATACGGAGGGAAACACGTCTAAAATCGATGGTTTCTGCCCTGCTGTGTACACCGTTTGAGGGTAAAATAACCTGTGTGCATCCAATCTTTGTCATTTGCTTCAATATAGGGGAAGTTTATAAAAGTTAACTACAGGAGGTTTAATGGAAATTGCGAACAATTTATCTTCCTGAAATAGGTCCTATTCAGAAACGTCCGAAATAGCTACTGTGGCGAGTCATGGGGTAAATACACAGATTAATATACCATTCACCTTCTCCTAGACACAGACTTCCTAGATGATAGTGTTTGGACCCTATTTTTTTCGTTGTGTCTTGCAATATTTTTAAGTTACAATTTTAGCGATCGTCCTTTGCAGTTCTTTTATTTCAAGTAGCAGAGAGACAAGGTAAATTTACAGACATTATAGGAGAAAAATACCTACATTACGTATTCGTTAAGTAACAAACCGTACGGGCGTTCCAGAATAGTCCAATGGCCTGTTATCCATCAACAAATAGCAAATTGAAGGATTAAAAGCCTTTGAGATCTGAGCAAACTGCAATCAAATTGCTATTAAACTCGGTAATGGCTGCATCGAAGATAGACTCGTGGTCTTCCAAAATTATTGGTTTTCTACAACAGAATCGAGGTGTTTCTCAATAAGTAGAAGCTGGTGACCGTCCTCAATGTGAACAATGCAATGTTCAGGTAACCGTGCTACATTTGTGGGAATCTTCATGACTTGCGAAACATAGAATCCGATGCCAACTAAAAAATGATCTCAAAACACGCACCACAATTCACTCAATGTTATGTATACAATACCTAAAAGTCAATATTTATCATCCTATTTGACACCTGTAACAGGTGGCCGTTTCAAAAATTTGTTTTTGAATTTGTATTTTTGTCAACATAGGACAATTTACACATATACCACTTCATAGGGAACGTGAACAAAAGTATGTCTACCGCTAACAAACGATAACAAGATACATATTGGGGGAAGCGAGCGCGGTAAAAGTTGTATTCATTCCATTTGAGCTGGCTGAAGAAGCCTAAATGCGAGTTTTGGTTGTCAGGGCACGTCAGTCGAGATCTTTGCGTGTAGAAAGGAAAGTCGGTTTCGGTTTTTCTAGCGGGCGAGGTTCAAATAGCGAGAGAAGTTCTAAGCTGATTTTCGGAAGCGAGCACGGATGGCTAACAGTAACGGCTGGATCTCGAGTATTACTTTCGTGAAATTAAAACCGGTTCGCTTGGGTTCGCGAGTCATACGGAATCTCCTTCCGTCAAACTTTGCATTCATCACATAGATAACGTTACCAGGGGGTGTACAAAGTCAACTGTACAATTGAAGCGAACTGTTCCCATATTTCTCAAGGAAGCGGGATTTTCCAAGGAGAGATAAGATTAATTGTTACCAGAAGAACCAACGTTAATAATTTTTATTATTTGAATTGCATAAACTAGCGTTCGGTTAATTTTAGGAATTTGCATGCTAAATTTGTCAATTAAAAATTAATTGTCATGTTAAAATGCTAGTGCCGTAGAGGTGAATTTTTATTTTAAGCAAGTGAGGTCGACCCTTCTAAATGTAACTTAACTATAAGCCCTTTCACACCAATGACATTGATACCTATCGTTGTTCTTAATTTAAATTTTAACAAATATCCAATTGTCTAAACTTAAATTTAATGTAAATTTCGTCTGAAAAGGCTTATTGTAATCCGCCTGGTGATGATGTACTAACGAAACATGTAAGCAACAACCCTTTTTTTTACATTTTTTAAGTATTAAACGAGTATGGGGGAGGTTTAGCGTGTTGTTACAATTCAGTTTAGAATATCGATTACGCGCGCTTATGTAAACTACA